CTGCATTTTGTCAGCGTCTTCACCGAATAGAACTATGTCATCGGAAAATTCTAGATCAGTAAGCGACTTTCCTGGTAGAAGGTAAACCCCTTAAAAATCTGACGAGCTTAATGTTAACTCTAAGAGGATGTCTGCGACAAAGTTAAACAAGAATGGAGAGAGTGGACAGCCCTGACGGACACCACTTGAAGTAGAGAATTCATATGACAGTTCGCCATACGCTCTCACTCGACCTATAGTGTTGGAGTAGAGAGCTTGTATAAGGTTAATGTACTTCTCTGGTACACCTTTCAATGACAGACACTGCCACAGAACCTCACGATCCACTGAGTCACATGCCGCCCTAAGGTCCAGGAACACGACTATTGTCGGACGTCTAAATGTGTGTCTGTGTTCCAGGACCTGTCTGAGTGTGAAGATGTGGTCTATACAACCACGTTCAGGTCGAAAACAAGCCTGGTTTTCTCGAGTTTGCTCTTTACGAGCCCTAGTTAGACGTCTAAGAATAACTGAAGCTAACAATTTAGAAACCATATTAGTTAGACTGATACCCTTGTGATTGTCACAAGAGGACATTTAACCTTTCTAGTAGATTGGGACAATTAGCGACTGACACCAGTCAGATGGGATTACGTCCAGTTCCCAGATTCTACCTAGGATCTCGTTCCGTCTTACTGTTAAAACTGGACCACCGTCCTTAAACATCTCAGTGGTAAGTCTATCAGAACCTGCTGCTCTACCTCCCTTTAGATTTCCTATAGCTTTCTCAAGTTCATGTAGACTGTGAGGACTTAAATCGATTTGCCATTCAGGATGACTAGAGATCGTGGGCAACCGAAATGTGGCTGAAGACCAGTTGAACTGATCCCTAAAGTGTTATGCCCATCGGTTCAATCTCCTGGATTGAGAATGAATAATAAGACGATCCTTTTCCGAGATAGTCTCACTCACATTTGGCTTCCTAATACTGGTTTCTTTGATAAGGCGGAAAAGTTGTCTAGTGTTGCCTATCGCTGCTGCCTTTTCCATCGCCCTTGCTTTCGCCTTCCACCACTGTTCGCGGTCGTTGCGTTGGCTTTTTACAAGTCTGCGCCTCAGCTGACCACGCTCCTCATAATGTTCAGAGTCAGGTGGGATTCGTTTTCGAGCATCCATCAGTTCGGTGGATGCGACTGAAATCCACGGCCTCATCCCAGCCTTATGGTTCACCTTGTTAGCAGATATCAGTGCTGTTTCCACAGCCTTCTTGATATCATTCCAATCTGCCTCAGGATGGGAATCACTACCATGGTGGCCAAACTATTTTTCCAGTTCCTCCTGAAATATGTTCTTAGCTTGATAATCATTGAGTAAAACCCTAAGAGGCTTTCTTACAGTGTCTTTCCTACGTCCAGTAAGCCTCAAACAAATACGCATAATCTGAATCTAAACATGTGCCCCAGAACGAGCGACAGTCCTCTATCGAACCCCTCCATCGGTGGCTGATGGCAATGTGATCTAGTTGGGTCCGAAGTTGAGACGACTTTGGAGGTCGCCAGGTCAACAGATGCTTTTCCTTATGCTTAAAATAAGTGTTTGCTAGAAATAGGCGGTTATCTGAGCACAGTCGCAGCAGACGGTCGCCACTGTATTTTCCTTTGGCCGCGAGACCATAACATCCACCCAGGTGTCTCTCATTTTTACTTAGTCTACCTACTTGAGAATTGAAGTCACCAACCATTATTACTATATCAGAGCGCGTATCTTTTTGTAGGAGATCCGAAAGCTTTCTGTAAAACTCATCTTTCACATCGTCTGGACTGCAGTCAATGAGGCGTAGGCTGATATGACGAAGAGGCGACGACGACTGTCCCTATCCTTTCGAATCCTTACTGTCCCGTTTAGTCGGACGGGGCACAAGCGACTATCTACAGGGATCCAGTCAAGGAGAGATTGTTCTGCCCTACGACTCAATGCTAAACATATACCAGCGAGGCCCCGGAAAGCAGCATCAGGGCTGCCGGATACACGAAGGGTAAATCGAGCTGCTTCTTTTTCTTGACATAATGAGGTCAATTGAATGATGCTACTTGGATCCTGTATGCGCGTACGGGGTGATAAAGAAATGTAGGAAGAGTTAGTCGTGGAGATAAGAGAGATTTTAAGGGGTGTAGAAAGGATTTGATTATCACCGACTCGGTCTCGCGTGCTGTTATGAATATGAGGGCGGTTGTCACTTCCCGGTTGTCCACACCGGGGAGCCTGAAAAGGAAGATAGATTAGTGTTGGTCTTAGAGACCTGGGAGAGTGACCGCAGAGCCCAAGGGGCAACTGCTTGAGGCCGGTCACTCAAGGCCTTTTTGTGAGAAGTTTTTTGAGTGTTAGCTCCGCTCTTGAAAGCCCTTAGTGGGCACCCTTGCCACCGGAGACGGAAATCCTTGAGGTAGTGAAAATTAAACAGGGTTATACAGCCTAATAGAAAAATTTAATAAAACTGCAGAGAGGGAAAGTGAAAGTAACGCGGCTTTGAAATGGACGTAGTTTTAGCATGTAGAAAGCTAATAACGTCCATGAGGAATGCTGATTAGCTCACCCTTATTGAGGAACCAGTGAAAATGAGGGCATGATTACGAAGCCCTACAATGTTCCCCCTAAATTTAGACCGTCCGCCTTGCGTTTTTCTGCGGAAGATCGTCCCAAATCTATGCAATCTCAATTAGGCAGAGGTTTACCCAAGTCATTTTTGTACTACCTAAGTTTGACAGTGAATACCTTAACACGTAGCTTGTATGCACGTGGCAGGGATAAGGTCTATATTACAGGGATAGTATCTGAATTGAGGCAGTAGCTTGAAGTAAAGAATCATATTGAGCCTTAGCCTTCTTTTCCAGAGTGGTTCAGGTCCGAGGGCATAGTAGCGGGTAGAATAATCATTGAGTGAGTTATTTTCAATCATTTTGTGCGTAAAATGCCTTTATATTCCTTCAGTATATCAGATATGCAGAAGTTAGAAAATGAGGACGAGCAGTATTCAGCAGCAAGCCGTAAACATGTCTTGTAAGGAATGATTTTAGACTCATTATGAAGGAAGTAACGGAAATGAAGCATGGTAATTTCCTCATTCAGAATACTTCGGTGGAAATATGCTCAGAAAAGTTTAGGTTGTGCGAATAATGAACTCCAAGGTCAGTTACTGATGCAAGTTTAGGCAGTATGTTCCCGCTGAGTGTGAGGTCTATTCCAACGGACGTGTCCCCGGAACATAGCCAGCCATATTTCTCAGTAATGAATTCTAAGTTCCAACTCTTACACCAGCTGTCTGCATTACTAAGTTCACTCTCGATCGTCTGCGTTCAACTTAATACGTCACGTTTACCAGTTTTATAGATGACTTGTAAGTCATTAGCACAGAGTTAGGAATTGTCTGTGTTGAAGCGACTGCAAATGCCAACAACACAGATGAACAACAGTGAACTCAAGACTCTGCTCTGCAAAACACCGATGGTTATTGGTCGAGGTGTAGATGTCGTACAATCAGTCTTTGTAATTTGGTATCTAATCGCGAGAAACGACCTAATCGATTGCAAGAATGGGTCATTAATCCCGAAGGACTGAATTCTGTTGATTGAGAGATTGTTAGGACGACAAGGGCTTATGCTTTCACATGCAGTAATGAATGCATTAGGTCCCTCCACTTTTCCACACGTACCATGCTGATTTTTCACACCCTCAAGTACAAAGTAGATTTGGTGCAGGATACTGAAGTCTTTTGATATGCACTCAGTCCTTTTTAGTTTATGTAGCTTAGCCCTGTGTGTTTGGTCGATATAAGCATTCATCAATTTGAAAGCCGTTTTGGAGGGCGTACTAGTTCCTAGAGTAGATTTTATGGTGAAGTTGAAGAGACCTGGTGTTTCGGAGAGCATGTCACCAGGAAAGAACGTCGTCCACCTGCACTGATTAACTAGTCTGTTTGTTGAAAACGCACAGTTACTATTTTGGACTTATTGCTAGTGTGCAGAGAACTATTTTATGGTTGATGTTGCACAACTTTTCGACGACTATCACACATTGTAATAAAAAAATTTTAATGTCGAATGACGAAACTATGGGCTTCGCTCACAAACCACTCGTAGGAAATCGAGGGTGTAAGTAATTTACTATCTGGCTACGGTAAATAATCTATCTACCATACAATTATAGTCGAAAAAACAGTATCCACAACCCGATTCATTGTACACCTGCGCGTTCACAAAGATGTCATCAGCCTTTGACAGCGCTCTACCATTCTGCACACACACATAATATTAAAGTCGTTCTAGCCACTATGGCTATGAAATATAATAAATAGGAGAAAACTTGATTCCCTCACAAATGTTAATTATTTGACTAACTCTCCCTCAGCTAGAAATCCAGGGTCAATAAGCACCTCTCGATACACATTCCCAGACAAGTGAAAAGATATTGATCCCGATCATAAGATTTGCAAAATGTTATTCATTTGAAGCTGACCAGTTTATATTCTTCAGAAATAGGCACAAAATTGGACGTTTACAACTTCATACCAGATCAGTCAATCATTGGAGGACACAGAAGTACATGGGAACAAAATTTTTCATTCCAAAAGACTGAAATCCTGCGTACAGTATATTATACTTAGGTTATAATGAGAAGCTCATACATATTTTCGTTATCGTGTTGAAGATTTGGAGGTCGATGAACACCGGCTTTCCGTATATCGGACGATGAATTTTGGATTATTGTGTATTACGTTCCTGTCTCCCCCAAGACTGATCACGTGAGAAGGAATCAACAGACAGTTCAAAAGAAGGGATCAAATCGTCTGCATATGGAATTTATTTTCTCAATTCAGGCTGTAAATTACTGAAATTGTCTATAAGAACGCATTATAATGTCACCTTCTTTGAAAGCATGAAAAAGATGTCCCACCTTTACAGTACTAGAAATCGCAAGGTTTAACAAGTTATTTGACCTATTTTTATACCGACAGATTGAGGGTTGGAATATCGTAAAGCGCCATATCTAACCGGTGCGTTGCGTACTGATAAGAGATCGAGTGTAACACGTTTAAAGCTGTAAGCGTCTAGTTTCGATTATCAGTTTTTCATAATCTCATGCTTAAGTTCTAGAAAAACCAAAGTAATTTATGCTAATCTGGACAGTCTTTGCCGCTGTCATAACGTTAGCCTGCCCGCAAAATCTCGGGTTTGTGCGTCAGTTAAGGCAGTCCTATCCATCGCCCTTAAAAACTGATCGTCGGCTACTCTGTCCATGCACCGTTATCATCGACGGTAAAAGCATGTTGAAACTACTGCGTCAGCGATAGTTTAATTTGTGCCATGATTTTGAGACCTCGGCTTTGGTAGCTCAGTCATGTTTTATGTATGTCATATCAGGGATCTACAAATTGTGGTTCATTTCTTTTTGGTTGAAAAAAATAGAAAGGTGATTATGTTATGACAAAACACCTGGATATGAAAGGGATTTGTACAAGACTTACTTGTCCGTTCATCATTTTTCAGTTTTAGGCCTTAGAGGTAGTTCAACTGTCGGTTGAGACGTTGCTCAGAACAGAAGCTAGTGGAGCTAGTGTGGTATAATCATGCATCAGCAAACGCATTCTCTTAACTAAACGAACTCTTACGAGTATGTATTTTTAGCGGAACTGTATCCTTCACCAAGTAATCTTATTTGTTCATTTATTGACTGAACGTTTTTTCTCCTATCTTTCTTCACAATACTTTTGCCTCATTCGTGTTGGACATTAATTTTAGTGCCCAACTGAAGGAAAATACGTATGTACCATGGATTAAAACAGTATTGAGAGCTCATATGTACAGTATAGTCTGATGTACCTAATTTTGTCTGTAAGCTTTTGGTTCTTATGAAGTTTGAATCTTATTGCCTATATCAACTTTTTGACAAGAACTACCTTTCATTTCATTTATAGTATTTTCTGAGGATATCTGTCAGTCATCACAATTTTGATGGTTAAGGACTAGTGAGTAAGTACAATAATGTTTGAAGACGCCCCTCCTACAAAAAAATGGAACAACTGTCTATACAACAACCGTGGACTACCTGATAACTATGTCGATTCAGATTTCTTGTCCGAATTAAAAGAAAACTGTTGGTTACATTTAATTATTCTGATAAACACTAGTGTTTCTACCCAAACTTCGAGCACGTAATGTTATAATTGCTGCTGGTAGCATTTATCAACAACTCTGTTGGTATGTCTTGTTCATCTTTACCATAGTACAGCTTATCTTTGTTCGTAGTTATTTATTTTTATTTACTGTTCAGTTGGATTTCTCCCCAGTACCTCAATACTTGTCTATTTTTTCTCATAACTGTTGGATATGGAATGTTTTGGTTAATGAAAGAAGCAAATGAAAGACAGTTTCATAAAGGTAACTGTTAGCTTCATGTGAATTGGATTTTATTTATTTAAAGTTTTGTAAATCACTTATTTTAAACCATCGAACAAATCAGGATTTAAGTAATTACCTTCTCGTTACTTTGAAATATTGTACCGTTTGGTGAGGCTCGTTTCATCCAGGGTAATGAGAAATACTTTGACATTGATGATACTATAGGTGGACAGGTTGATGTTTCCCACCTGTGATCTTAGTTTACAGATACTTTTTTGCTGGTAACGAAATATTAATGCAATAGGTAATACTAGTAAGTGTATCCTAAGACAACCTAGTAAGCAATGCTGTCGTCAGGAAACGAGTATTAGGTAGGGGTAGCAACTCAATAGATGAAGTATTGAAACTTCATCAGTTGACTTGGTTAAGACATGTGTTACGAATGCCCAACCACCGCCTGCCTCGACGCACGATGTTTTGTGGTGTGGGAGTAGGTTGGAAGACAAATAGGGGCGGCTAAATCCATGAAGTCACTGACAAGTGTACTGGATCATGTTGGTAGCTGCAGACTACCTGGTTGGGATCCGCGAGACGATAGTAACCGATGTTGAGTCCACTCTTTGTTTTCTCTGAAATTCTAGTCTCTTGAATACCTCATCACCTCTACTTTTCTCTTTCCAAACTTATCTCACTTAATTACACTTGTTGAATAATATCTTGGAACCCTAGTCTCCATTAGCGCTAATACTTCTACTACCTGAACCATTATGGGATTTAAACTGACAATTGCGTCTCTGTGTTATAGCAACCTGAACTTTTGTACTCATGTACGAAGTTCTACGTTGTAACTAACTGCCTTAATGATGCATAAGAGTTGACTACACTTGATTAATTCCATAGGTTGTTTCCCGCTGTTGCGTTAACCAATTTCTAAAATGAGCCAACAAATTACGTAAATTAGTGAATATTTTAAAACGTAATTTTACTACTAAACAAGCAATATCATTACTACACTTGGCATTTGGTTTTTCATCTGATGTCTTTTGTTGTCATTTTGTATCACTTATTTTTGTTTTTTTCTACTCCCAGTTATACCTGAGGTCAAATCAGGTGTAGTATTTTTCACATTCTGCTTTCTGCTTGCGCCTGTTCTACATTCCCTTCTGTCAAGCGTAAGCACAGACTCTATATACGCTCTGTGTACTTTTTTCCTTCTCGTATATTGGACATGTTTTGATTACAAGACTCACTGGGAAGGACATCCTCGAAAGCCTGGATCTAATACAATCTCTCTGAGTTCTGCTCTGTTAGCTGCTCTCTGCTTAGCTAGTCGTTTGCCAGGCCCTTATCATACTTTTGCATTGCTCTCCGCTGCTGTCACTTTGTTGGCATTGTGGCCAGCACTAACTAGAAGGTTTCGCGTAAGTACAGTTATCTTTGTCTTAAAAAATTGCTGTTGTTGTACTACGGTTGTACAATTGTTTGTGTCATCTTTACAATTCAACATATGCTAATAGGTCAAAAAATAACATACATTAGGTCAGATTGCTTCAACTATCGATTTCACCAGTTCAAGAATTGAAAGATATTAACACGTCCAGCAATGCTGTTATTAGGAAACGGGTGCTAGGTAAGAATGGCAGATCAATAGGTGGAATACTGAGACTTCATCACTTGAGGTGGTTGGGACATGTGTTACGTATGCCTAACCACCGACTGCCTTGTCGAGCTATATTTTACGGTGTAGGAGTAGGTTGGACGAAAGCTAAGGGCGGCCAGACCAAAACATGGCAGCAATCCATGAAGTCACTGACAAGTGGGCTGAGTCATGTTGGTAGATGTAAGCTACCTGGTTGGGGTCCGCGAGATAATAGTTACCGATGGTTAGAGACCTCGAACTACATGGCTCGAAATCGTCTGCAATGGCGTAGGTGCATCCACTCTTTGTGTTCTCTGAAATTCGAATCCTCTGTATTCCTAATCACTTCTATCTTTCTCTTTCTACATTAATCTTACTGAACTATACTTCTTGAATAATAATAATAACAATCTTCTCCATTACCAGTAATACTTATACTATCTCTACCAATATGGGCTTTGAACTGACATTCGCGTCTCTGCTTTTTAAGTCTATTTGACTAGATTCTACATCTTGAATAATATCTTCTAATCCTAACCTCTCCGACTACTGCTAACACCTTTACTACCTCTACTACTATTGGATTTGAATTGACAATTACATCTCTGTGTTGATGTGGTATGACAGCATGAACTGATGTACGTACGTACGGAGTTATACGTTGCGATTGATTGATTGATTGAACACGTCCAGGTTGAATAAAATTAAAGTAAGAAATTGTGGTCATTTTTACTCTACTCATTTGTATCGGTTTTTCGAACATTCCCAATAGTGTTTGGGACTGCGATTGCTGTCTTCTTCGGTAAACTTGCATTTTGTGTAGATTATCTCAATACTGCCGTTCAGTCACATACATTGTAGGCACAGTTGGATAATAAGCAAGTGACTAACGCGGCTTTTGAATTGAGCGGCTCCTGGTTCAAACACTAGAGTAAGCATCAACTCTGGGATCCACGTAGACGAAACTGACGAGTCCCATACAGGACTAAACTCTTGTACTAAAATTTACCATTAGCCACCATCCAACTCTGTCGATAGTTTTAGTCTATTATTTTTACATATCCGATCAATAATTATCATAGTCTTAAATATTTACTGGTGTAAACAAATAAAACTATTAACCAACTTAGTGGGTTAGTGATGTCTTGCTTTGATTATCATTAACGTTATCTAATTTCTCTTATTCTAGTAGACCTCTAAAATACCATACTAACACATGACTTGCTCATCACCTCAGTCAGAACCAAACGACAAAAGTATTTGTTTTGTCTGGAATTTTATCATTAACCTTAATAATTTTCATTCTTTGGATTTACTACACAATTGAAAATGTCTATCGACATGGCGACCGCAAAAGCCGACTACAGTAGACCACATTCCTATCAGCCACAGATCGAGGGGTTCGGTAGAAGACTGTCGCCCATTCTGGAGTACTTCTTAAGATTCAAACCATGTTCCAGTGCGAACGTATGTTTGCGGCTTAATGGACGTAGGAAAGACACCGCAAGAAAACCTCTTAGGGTTCTACTTAATGGCAAATAAGCTAAGAATATACTTCAGAAGCAAATAGGTGGCCATGTCAATGATTCCCACCCCGAAGAGTTTCAGAACGATATTCGAAAAGAAGTGATATCCGCTAGTAAGGTAATCCATAAGGTTAGGGTAAAGCAGTGGATCTCAGCAGCATCTACCGAATTGATGGATGCTCTGAAACTCATCACATGATGAAGGGCAGTCAGCTTATGCGCGGGCTGGACCTTAAAGCGGCGTTTAACTCTATCGATCGTGAGGTTCTATGGCAGTGTCTGTCATTGAAATGTGTACCAAAGAAGTACATTAACCTCATACAGGCTATCTACTCAAACACTACTGGTCGAATCAGAGTTATGGCGAACTGTCATTCGAATCGATAACTTCAAGTGGTATTCGTCGGGCTGTTTACTTTCTCCAACTTTATCATTGACGTGCTTTTAGATACGACGCTTTCATCTTCCGAATATCAAGAAGTTGAACTTTTACCAGGAGATTCGTTTGTTGACCTAGGGAATGCAAATGACATATTTCTATTTGACGAAAAACAGAGTCTTCCGACCAGCCACAATGCAAGCATATTTGGGTTTCGATTCTCCCCGTCGAAATGCAAAATGTTGCTTCGGTATTGGGTTGAGTCGCTGTCTGAACTAGTGATAGGGAGTGAAGTAGTCGAGCGTGTTGGTTGCTTCACTTATCTGAGGAGTCTCATCAGAGCTGATGACCTGGTGTCTGACGCAATCTCAGAAAGGTATCAGAAGGCTCGACTGGCTTTCGCCAACTGACGTCACTTATGGCGTAGGCGAGATTTCCGTCTAACAACCAAACGACGCGTTTACTGCACACCTTACGGGTGCAAAACATGGATAGTAAGAGTACAAGATATTCGTAGGTTACTGGTTTTCTATCATGGGTGTCTTCGAAGCAGTGCTCGTACATTCTAGGACCATCGAGTAAGCAATGCTGTCGTTAGGAACTGGTACTATGTATGGGTGGTAGATCAATAGATAAAGTAGTGACACTTCATCACCTGAGGTGGTTGGGACATGTGTTACAAATGGGCAACCACCGACTGCCTCGACGAGCTATGTTTTACGGTGTAGGAGTAAGTTGGACGAAAGCTAGGGGCGGCCAGACCAAAACATGGCAGAAATCCATGAAGTCACTGACAAGTGGACTGAGTCATGTCGGTAGGCGTCGACTACCTGGTTGGTGTCCGCGAGATGATAGTAATCGATGGTTAGAGACCTTGAACGACATGGCTTAAAATCGTTCGCGATTGCGCAGGTACATCCATTCTTTGTGCTTTCTCAAATCCTAATTTTCCGAATTTCCCATTACTTGTATATTTCTCTGCTCAAATTTATTTCCTTGGGTGATATTGTTGAACTGTAACCTCTCTGATTTCTTCAAATACTTCTACTACCTCTATTACTATGGGATTTGAATTGACAATTGCGTCTCTGTGCTCATGTGGTATGGCGTACGTGTGAAGTTCTATGTTGTTGCTGACTGACTGACACTACACACTTGAAGTTTTAAAGATACCCTTTAATCAGTTATTGGCAGAATGTAAATACGTTTCGTATTCACAGAATAGAGCACAGCTAATTGCTGCAAAGCATAATTTTTTATCGACAAAAATAACTTGTCGCTAGAGCACTTAGTGTAGGCTAGTGAACATCAAAGAAGGCTTCGGTATATAGATTCCGTTTACAAGTCTGCTATGACTGCTTCATGAACTTGACTACTCCACTATCTTCTAAACCTGTGTGTCAGCTCAGAGCAGTCCTGTTACGGTTGCCCACACCATGGAAGGTTGTTTCTTGAGGGACCTGAAAAGGAAGATAGATTAATGTTGGTCTTGGAGACCTGGGAACGTGACCGCAGAGCCCAAGGACAACTGCTTCAGGCCGGTCACGCACGGCCTGTTTATGAGAAGTTTTTTGAGTGTTAGCTCCGCTCTTGAAAGCCCTTAGTTGGCACCCTTACCGCCGGAGACGGAAATCCGTGAGGTAGAGCGAGGTGTGACATTTTTAGGGCCAACCTTTTCTAACCCTTCCCTCCTTGTGAGAAGGCAGCATTGCTGCAGATGCTGGTTGTCCGAGGGAAACACCTTACTGCTGTCACACCCCTCTGCAGTCAGCAGTACGACTTCGCCCTGAGGCCTTGAGTCTCATCGCTCTCCAATCGACCTGCCTGGCATGGTAGAACCTTCAGGAACATATGTTCCAGCCAATATAGCTCGGCTGGGTCATGACGATAGGCAAGCCCGACCACCACGTCAAGGTAGCAGCTTCGGTCGGGAGAGCAGTCCTGAGAATGTTACTTATGAGTCTACAGTTGCTAAAACCATTTTAATCATTTTGCTTTGCTATTTGAGAAACCCTATCTTCTTATCTGTAGTACTACAAAATTGAATTCAGATAGTGAAGGTCCAAAACCTCTTGCGTTACATGATATTCCGTATTTTTACGGGAAGTCATAAATTGTGGTTATCGTTTAAATATTAGAAAATTTGTCCGTAATGTAGTAAATTAAGCCAGAAAAACTACAACAACGTTATCATAGGGCGTTAAATTTCTTAGAAAACTGCGTCCAAAGTAAGAAAGACATTTAACTGTTCTGTTCCAATAATTGTACATAAAAACAGATAGGACATGATCAACGAACAATTACTTTTACTGAGTATACTAAAATGTATACAATGGAGGTTGGCTAACATAATGTTAAAATTCTGGACAATAAGTTTAATCCTAGGCAATTCGATTTAATCATGCCTGAACAGACAGCGTCGTTTGTCTGCTAGGCGACAAAATATACAGAGCAATCAATTACATACACTTATTTTCATAACTCAAGAATATCAACTTCATGCTTGGTTTTTAATTTACTGGAATTTAGTCCACAAAAGATACGAAGACAATGTGCTTTTATATTGTTACTGGCTTTTAATCACATTTCAGAACTATGGAGGTGACCGAGCACAAATATGCTTAACTATATTATCTGGTTCTATAACTCTTCTGAGTGTTTGGCCGATAGTTTACAATGAAGTATCGTTTGAATACAGATGCATCTTTCTTTGCGTACTCGTAACGTTGACTCTTTGTATTAATTTCGCTGGACCGTGTTATTTATTAAGAATGCAAAAAATTAAAAGGTTTGTGAGTCAACTAACCAAATGAATTTTTATTATATTCATCAGTGTAACTCATTTTTTCCTTCGCAAGTTCTGATAATCGATAACTTGCCAAGCCTTTTCAGAATTCGGTATTTCAATCGTCCAAGTATACTGATTTCCGCCGTAAGAATATGTGCTATCTGATTTCGCACTAGTTACAAACAGTCTTTCATTTAGCATCGATCAAAACGAAGCACTCAGTGGCCTTTGGTTAAAAAATATCATATTATAACGGACGTTTGAGACCGTAAAGATGTACGATATGATTTTAGTACCATCAGTTTCTATGATGATGCTTGTGTATATTTCGAGACCGTTCTTCTGCATAAACAAGCTTCTGTGTAAGATTAGTGGTGCATTAAGACCTTAACTGACACATAAATTCTAACAAACAAATTCCATTTCATATGGTAGATTGGTTATTCCTCACAAATTTTCGAATTTGTTTCTTTCTGACAGGACTATCCATGGACCGTGGGATGAAGCTGTTATTGAATAAAACTTTGTACAGAGAAAACATTATTTAATTAATATATACATGACTGCTTTTACATGACTTTCAAAACCCCTTGCTGAGAAGAAATTTAGCCACCTCTTCTTGGAATAATCCTTCGATTTTTATACAACGTGTTACTTCATCTACTTGGCAGAGAAACAGTCCAGCTTCACATTTCGGTTGAAGAAGCGTCCGAAGATCATCAGCCAAAGCCTATAATATAATAAAAAATGTTATTATTCTTTTCCAAACATACAAATAGACCAGAATTCACTTCCACTTCCTAAACCTATCTTCGAATACATGATTTCTTAATTTTACAGTAATTTGGTTGACTTAATGTTTTACATGAAGGTGTTTCTTCAGAGAACCACCGGATACTAAGGAGTTCTGCCCACTTGTGTTAGCTGTTTAGTTTACGTAATGTTAGGTATCACTAAATAATATTGGAGCCCTATGTTTGTAGATTTCCCCCGAAAAAAACTGATCAACTCTATAATACCCCTAGTCAGTGTGATTTTAGGAGAAATACGCAAGTGGGATATGTCCTTGTAGTACAAAAACCGCAAGTAGGATATACTAATCTTTGTAAAACGCTAGTGTTGTTGAGTATACTGAAGTCGTATATTCTTTAAGGTGAATTACTCCTAAACATTATGCATTTTAATACAATACAATAAGATGTAAAATACATTAGAGTCGGTCACACACAACGTAGAACTTAAAACATTTGGTATAGCTATAGCACATTAACACAGCAAGATGAATTTCTTCCGAGCCGAATCCAAGGTTACTCAGTATAATAACAGTATCGGCAATATTAAAACGGGTTGAGTATCAATAAAAAGTAGGCAGTTGAAAGAAGAAAAACAGTGAATGCACTTGCGCCATTGCAAACGTTCGAATACAAATCTATCTTTTTTTTGCATACTCGTAACGTTGACTCTTTGTATTAATTTCGCTGGACCATCATTGCAAATGATCTTGATTTCATTTAAAGTTTCTGACCACCGGTTACGATTGTCGGGTGGGCCCCAGCCACGTAGTCTATACCTAATAACATAGCTTAGTTCAATCGTCGATGATTTAATGAACTAATACGATGTTTTAAATTGGCCTACTCCTACACCAGACAGCACAGATCGTCGAGGTAGATGGTGGCTGGGTATACGTAGTACATGCACAAACCAACCCAGTTAATTCGTTACCTTGTCAACCTTTACCCAGTACCCCATGTCTAATCTCGACATCACTCTCTCGGTGGTCCCCAAATAAACCGGCAATGCTTCGAAGGTCAAATAATAGTACACTACAAATAACTTCTACTCCTAATGGCCTATCACTAATTCAGCTGCTGATGCAGGTTGGTTGTGTAGTAATATTTTGTACTTCGAGGGAGAGAACTGGACCCCAGACATAATTACACTGTTATTAAAGGTAGTCAGACGACTGCATTATATCAGCGTCTTCACCGAACAAAACTACATAACATTGCTACCTTCGTAATTTCATCATACGTGGTCAATACGACATACTTCGAAACCTTGAGATATATCTTATGCAGAAACACTTTGCCCGATGGAAATAAGGATTTTGGCACATAGAAACCAGTCTGATCCATAGGACATTTTAATATTGTTGGTTATTTATCGGTCAGCAACAACATAGAACTTCGTACGTACGTACATCAGTCCAAGTTGCCATACCACAGCACAGAGACGCAATTGTCAAATCCCATAGTAATAGGTAGTAGAAGTATTAGCAGTAATTGGAGACGTTAGGGTTCGACAATATAACTCAAGAAGTAAAATCAAGTGAAATAAGTTTAAGAGAAAGATAAGGGTAATTAGGAATTCAGGAAATTACGATTTGACAGACATGTCATTCAAAGTCTCTAACCACCGGTTACTATCATCTCGCGGATCCCGATCAGGTAGTCTGAACCTCCCTGGCTCAGTACACTTGTCAGTGACTTCATGGATTTGTGTCATGTTTTGGTTTGGCCGCCCCTAGCTTTCTTCCAGCCTACACCACGAAAAGTCGCTCGTCGAGGCAGTCGGTGGTCGCGCATCCATGGCACACGTCCTAACCACCTCAAGTGGTAAAGATTCACTTCTTTATTTATTGATCTGCCACCCATACATAGTACCGATTCCTAACGACAGCATTGCTTACTCAATGGTTCTAGGATGTACGAATAATGCTCTTGAGACACCTACGATCGAAGATCAGTAACCTATGAATATCTTCTACTCCTGCTGGCCATGCTTCATAGCCCTAAAGTAAGACGGATCGAACTGGTATGCAGTAAACCCGTCGTTTGGTTGTTAGACGGATATCTCGCCTGCGCCATAAGTGACGCCAGTTGGCGAAAGCCAGTCGAGCCTTCTGATACCGTCCTGAGATTGCGTCAGCCACCATGCCAGCAGCTGTGATGAGACTCTTAGGAACCGAAGGACAATCTTTATGAGTTCCTAATATTAGAAAGGAGTTGCTTTGAAAAGAATGATAAATAGCTCACAAAAATTGAAGTGAAAGTGACCTACTACCGTGTTAATTGCCTCTTTCAGTTACTTTGAACCGATTGTGAGTAGTCTTTACAAGCCTAATACACGTTAGTAGGTTTACCATAGTTATATCCCGTTATAAACACTTCACATGCAATAATCAATGCGTGGAAACATGGTATAAAACGGTCGACCTGAACGAAATTTCCACTAAAGTACTCGTTTAAATCGATTTTCTATAACAAGTGTTTTAATAGTCAGAGTACTATTATTATGAAAGTAATCTAGCTAGTTCAGTATAGTTTAACTAAGCTTGCAGTGTAACCGGTTATTGAATATTCTACCGTTTGGTAAAATATAGAGTAAAGTTATTAGTGTATAACTTATGCATTTATCGAATTTTACTCAGATTACTTTAGAATACAGGCGTAACTTACTTGCATATCTCCATCAACATGTCTAATGACCGTCAGCTGTCGAGTCCCATGTGTACACTCCTTTTTTTTCCTCTGTTTTTCCTCATAGTAAACGGGTAGCATATGATTCTTAGACCTTCTGACAGAATAAGGCACATCCTTAGATAACTCAGCTAGCAGAAAATAAAAAAGAAAGTTTGACATACTTGTCAGTAAAATATGATGAAGAAAGAATTAATTCATAAAGAAGACTTTATGTACTTTACATAAACTAAATATTTCTCTTAAGAAATGGGAAGAGATAAAGCAGATGACAAAAATATCAAAAGATACTGTTCAAGTGTAAGTAAAATAAAATTAGGGTTAGGTTTCGTTGAAGTATACCTCAATGCTTACAAACAGAAGTACAGTTTTGCTTCATATGTGATAGTGACTCGTCAATGAGCTGCAGGATCAATAAAGTTTCATATAACAGGTCTCGATGAGCCAGTGTATGCTAGCTTGAATCGCTGATCTGCGATGCTGTTATAAACGGAACACCTTACCTAGTGTCAACGAATTAGGCGCACTATGCAGAGTCAGAATTTCATGCGTTTGCATCTAAGCGTCCAAATTAGGTATCTGAAATGTTATTATCAACTGGAAGGTCCACTACACTACGTAAAAAACAAGGTTTTTAGTTACCACCATTTGGACTGTAAATCGTTATTGCTAAAGCTGATTGAGGAATCGGGTTCTGGTAACCCATTTATTGTTACGCTGATCATCAGATAAAACCAGCTGTGTGAAAATCCTAAGTTTCCATATCACGGAGTGGGGCATAAGTGACAGATACTAAGAATTCGGTAAGGATGATCAGTCTGCAGAGGATATCTCAACTTTTTCAGCAGAAGTTTAGAACTGATGAAGAACTTGAAAGATGTAGTTACAGATAAAAAGCTGATATATTCCGATATTATTTATGGATTTCAAAGAACTGTCAAATATCATTAATCAACACGCGAATCTATCAAGTAAATGTATAGTGGAGTATCATCTAAAACAGTATGACTGCTACAGTTTTTCGATAACTGATGAGAGCGTATAACATCTTGAAACAATTTGAGCTAAAATTAAGGAATGTTGGTAACTGTATAGCATAGAAAGACCAAAACATGGCAGAGATCCATGAAGTCACTGACAAGTGGACTGAGTCATGTCGGTAGGTGATGACTAGCTGGTTGGGGTCCGCGAGATGTTAGTAATCGATGGTCGGAGACCCTGAATGACATGGCTCGAAAACGTTTGCAATGGCACAAGTGCATTCATTCTTTGTGTTCTCTCAAATCCTAAACTTTTTAATTCCCAATCACTTTATCGTTATCTTTTTAAGTCTATTTGACTAGATTCTACTTCTTGAATAATATCTTCTAATCCTAACCTCTCCAACTACTGCTAACACCTTTACTACCTCTACTACTACTGGGTTTGAATTGACATCAACACATCTCTGTGTTGATGTGGTATGACAGCATGAACTGATGTACGTACGTACGGAGTTCTACGTTGCGATTGATTGATTGTATAGCATAGGTCTGACAAGCCCTGACACACAACTTTGGATGGTACCTAAACGTAAACGTACGTTTTAGACCCAATGTAAATATCAATATCCCAGAACAAATTCACGATATCTTATCAATGAATAAGTATGACAGGTTTAATTTTCAAATGTCATGTTCGTTGCCGAAAGGTTTTCTATAAAATAACACGCGATGTCGCATACTTATTTTTGTGAATTTATGTCCATTGCTCGACTGTAGTAGGCAGTAAAAACAACCCGAATTATTGCCATGGTAGAACAACACTTAGAAATAATCATATAATTGCTGAAATTCTTTGTAATTCGTTTTATGAGAACTATAGCGACAACATAAAATGGAAGCATTAAAAATATAATGATGCTTGCATACGGATAGGGGGTATCCAGCCGCTCGGAGTAGGGGCCGTTATACCTTCAGGAAATGGGATTTTATTGTTCTTCAAAACTCTTTGAACCCATACATATTCTGCTTTACTAACTTCATAATCTACTGGTTTTTTCTTAATCAGATCATCATCGACCAAGGAGTCTTCAACCCATGGATTTTCCAACGTCGGCCACCACTGAACTCTTATATGTCTATTGTAGACCTGGAAATAATGACTAAAGTTTACAGAACAACTAACTTGTATAACTGAAGCAGGCTTCAGTATTTTACTGCAAAAAAGAATCCCAGAAAGCATTTTACCTGCTGCACGTTACGTATTGTGATGAAGTCCTATGCGTAAAATAACTACATGTAAGATAAATACAAAACTGTAGCGTGAAAATAAACTGACGTCAGAAGTTTATTTGACGACAAGACCACAAGCCTTATCATGAATTACTAAGCAAATTAATTAGCGAAATGAAACAACACATGAAATCATCCCCATAGCACGCTCCCAGGCTGCCAAGACAAACGCTAATCCGATTTCCTTTTCAGACTCCTCAAGGAATACTCTTTCACGATGTGGGTAACCGAGAAGTGACATGCGCGCTCATGTCTCTAACAGCACACAAGATCAACCCATAGCTTCGTCATCGATCTGTATAGAATGACAGCCTTTCTGAAGTGAATTTCACATTGTAAGTACATAATATTAGTAATAAATCTTGAAGAGCTTTAACAGAAAATAACGAAGGGTTATCTAATGAAATACAGTCACAAAAAATAACGTCTTTTTAACAGGTATACTTGTAAACAGTGTTTGCAGCAAGGGATCACATTGTCTTAGTTTCTGCATTAATATCCGGCAAGTAGTTAATGATTTCAAATAAACATTTAAGGGAATACCAACAAAATTGGTTTAGAATAGTCTAATAATTTGCCGACCACTCTTTAAGATTATGTATAAGTTAATGCCGCATGGATAAAACAAGACTTAAAGGAAAATTTGCGAACCAATATCATATTGCTGGACCAACAAAGAGGCCCTCATCACTCAGTCAGTTACAACGTAAAACTTCGTACGTATGTACATAAGTTCAGGTTGCCATACAACATTAGCACAGAGAAGCAAATGTCAAATCAAATCCCATAGTGATAGAGATAATAGAGGTATTAATGATAATGAAGAAGACTAGAGTTTGAAGATATTATTCAAGAATATTCAAGAGATAAGGTTAGAAAGACAAAGGTAGAGGTAATGACGAATCCAGAAGATTGGGATATGAGAGAGCTCAAAGAATGGATGCACTTGCGCAATTGCAAACGATTTTGAGCCATGTCGTTCAAGGTCTCTAACCATTGGTGACTATCGTCTCGCGGACACCAACCAGGTAGCCTACATCTACCAACATGACTCAGTCCACTTGTCAGTGACTTCATGGATTTCTGCCATGTTTTGGTCTGGCCGCCCCTAGCTTTCTTCCAACCTACTCCTACGCCACAAAACATAGCTCGTCGAGGCAGTCGGTGGTTAGGCATACGTAACACATGTCCCAACCACCTCAAATGATGAAGTTTCACCACTTCATCCATTGATCTGCCATCCTTACCTAGCACCCGTTACCTAAAGACAGCATTGCTTCTTAAACATCTATGATCGAATACTAGTAACCTACGAACATCTACTCCTAACGGCCATGTTTCGCATCCATATAGGAGAACGGAGCGAACTGATGCGCAGTACACCCGTCCTTTGGTTAGCGAACGGATATCACGCCTACGCCATAAGTGACGCAGGTTGGTAAAAGCCAATCGAGCTTTCTGTATCCGAGCTGAGATTTCGTCAGTCACCAGGCTATCAGCGTTGATGAGACACCCAAGATAAGTGAAGTGATCAACATGCTCGACTACTTCACCCCCTATCACTAGTTCAGGTGCCGATGCAACCCAGTCTTGGAGCAACATTTTGCATTTCGAGGGTGAAAACCGCATCCCGAACATGCTCGCATTGTTGCTTATGGTAGTCAGAAGACTGCATTTTGTCAGCGTCTTCACCGAATAGAACTATGTCATCGGAAAATTCTAGATCAGTAAGCGACTTTCCTGGTAGAAGGTAAACCCCTTAAAAATCTGACGAGCTTAATGTTAACTCTAAGAGGATGTCTACGACAAAGTTAAACAAGAATGGAGAGAGTGGACAGCCCTGACGGAAACCACTTGATGTAGAGAATTCAGATGACAGTTCGCCATATGCTCTCACACGACCTGTAGTGTTGGAGTAGAGAGCTTGTATAAGGTTAATGTACTTCTTTGGTACACCTTTCAATGACAGACACTGCCACAGAACCTCACGATCCACTGAGTCAAATACCGCTTTTAGGTCCAGGAACACGAATATTGTCGGACGTCTAAATGTGTGTCTATGTTCCACGACCTGTCGTGAAGCAGAAAGAAAACATGTTATTCTAATTTCCAATAATTTTTTCCTGTATGTTCTTCGTTCACTAAAATGCTCACTGACCAGAACGTCAACTAGACAAATATGTTATGAGAACATGAGATTGTTTTCAATATAAAATTATATATGATCATATAGCGACGAGGTTTCACAAGCGTAGGTCAGAACTGCCTTAACTGACGCACAAACCTGACCTTTTGCGAGCAGGCTGACATTATGACAGTACCAAAGACTGTCCAGATTGGCATAAATGTTACTTAAACTGTTACCATCTGTGTATTAGCTACATCTGCCACGGCACCACTTGTACTCAGATAAATAGCCAGATATATTTGGATAATTAGCTATGGGACAGCAATAAGCTTGTCAAACCAGTAAACCACCGACGCTTTATTGAAATTTAGATGTTGGGTACTCCTGAATAGCCACTACTTTTGTTGGTGACCACTTGAGTATTATCATGTGGCTGAGGAATTTTAGCGACTCCTTACCAAATCCACAACTTTTGGCGTTAGTGACAACACCGTATTCCTTTAATAGTTTAAGTAACATTTTATTGTGTTGTAAAAGCTCAATTTCCGATGTACTAACGACAAGTAAACCATTGCTGTAAGCATAGACAGACAGTAGGTTTCAGATTACTCAGTTGGTAAATTGCTGGAATATATGTGGCATTTGTTAAGATAAACTACAAATGTAAAAGCTCAAAAGTTAAAAAGTATGTGGTAGCGTTCGCTTTATGCAAATCCGCTGGCGCTTTCAGAATATGGCAGTAAGCTCGTATCTAGTAGATATTAGAGAATATAATCACTTATGAAATGGCATAAGAGGAACCGTAAGTGTGGATCACGGTGGATAAGTCCGGCGAATCGGATACGGAATCTCATTTGCCCAGTTTCGCATCAAATAATGCTCATTAAAACGCCTGATTGTGACTCCAAGCACATTGAGCATGCAGCTAAAACTATCATAAGACCAGTGAGACACCAAAATTGATTAAAAAATGCGGTAGACAACTTCCAGAAAGAAATTATTGTACGTAGTAAACGGTTTTAAAACTTAAAATTTGATCATTTGCATAGGATGGATTCGGATTCGCATACGCGATACAATTACATTCAAAGTAATAACCTAACTGTTATATTGTTCAAATTACCGCGAATCTGCTTGACATACATACTTTTATTAAGGAAGGTAACTGACAACACTTAGAATTAACACAAGCATGAGATTATGAAAAACTGATAATCGAAACTAGACGCTTACAGCTTTAAACGTGTTACACTCGATCTCTTATCAGTACGCAACGCACCGGTTAGATATGGCGCTTTACGATATTCCAACCCTCAATCTGTCGGTATAAAAATAGGTCAAATAACTTGTTAAACCTTGCGATTTCTAGTACTGTAAAGGTGGGACATCTTTTTCATGCTTTCAAAGAAGGTGACATTATAATGCGTTCTTATAGACAATTTCAGTAATTTACAGCCTGAATTGAGAAAATAAATTCCATATGCAGACGATTTGATCCCTTCTTTTGAACTGTCTGTTGATTCCTTCTCACGTGATCAGTCTTGGGGGAGACAGGAACGTAATACACAATAATCCAAAATTCATCGTCCGATATACGGAAAGCCGGTGTTCATCGACCTCCAAATCTTCAACACGATAACGAAAATATGTATGAGCTTCTCATTATAACCTAAGTATAATATACTGTACGCAGGATTTCAGTCTTTTGGAATGAAAAATTTTGTTCCCATGTACTTCTGTGTCCTCCAATGATTGACTGATCTGGTATGAAGTTGTAAACGTCCAATTTTGTGCCTATTTCTGAAGAATATAAACTGGTCAGCTTCAAATGAATAACATTTTGCAAATCTTATGATCGGGATCAATATCTTTTCACTTGTCTGGGAATGTGTATCGAGAGGTGCTTATTGACCCTGGATTTCTAGCTGAGGGAGAGTTAGTCAAATAATTAACATTTGTGAGGGAATCAAGTTTTCTCCTATTTATTATATTTCATAGCCATAGTGGCTAGAACGACTTTAATATTATGTGTGTGTGCAGAATGGTAGAGCGCTGTCAAAGGCTGATGACATCTTTGTGAACGCGCAGGTGTACAATGAATCGGGTTGTGGATACTGTTTTTTTCGACTATAATTGTATGGTAGATAGATTATTTACCGTAGCCAGATAGTAAATTACTTACACCCTCGATTTCCTACGAGTGGTTTGTGAGCGAAGCCCATAGTTTCGTCATTCGACATTAAAATTTTTTTATTACAATGTGTGATAGTCGTCGAAAAGTTGTGCAACATCAACCATAAAATAGTTCTCTGCACACTAGCAATAAGTCCAAAATAGTAACTGTGCGTTTTCAACAAACAGACTAGTTAATCAGTGCAGGTGGACGACGTTCTTTCCTGGTGACATGCTCTCCGAAACACCAGGTCTCTTCAATTTCACCATAAAATCTACTCTAGGAACTAGTACGCCCTCCAAAACGGCTTTCAAATTGATGAATGCTTATATCGACCAAACACACAGGGCTAAGCTACATAAACTAAAAAGGACTGAGTGCATATCAAAAGACTTCAGTATCCTGCACCAAATCTACTTTGTACTTGAGGGTGTGAAAAATCAGCATGGTACGTGTGGAAAAGTGGAGGGACCTAATGCATTCATTACTGCATGTGAAAGCATAAGCCCTTGTCGTCCTAACAATCTCTCAATCAACAGAATTCAGTCCTTCGGGATTAATGACCCATTCTTGCAATCGATTAGGTCGTTTCTCGCGATTAGATACCAAATTACAAAGACTGATTGTACAACATCTACACCTCGACCAATAACCATCGGTGTTTTGCAGAGCAGAGTCTTGAGTTCACTGTTGTTCATCTGTGTTGTTGGCATTTGCAGTCGCTTCAACACAGACAATTCCTAACTCTGTGCTAATGACTTACAAGTCATCTATAAAACTGGTAAACGTGACGTGTTAAGTTGAACGCAGACGATCGAGAGTGAACTTAGTAATGCAGACAGCTGGTGTAAGAGTTGGAACTTAGAATTCATTACTGAGAAATATGGCTGGCTATGTTCCGGGGACACGTCCGTTGAAATAGACCTCACACTCAGCGGGAACATACTGCCTAAACTTGCATCAGTAACTGACCTTGGAGTTCATTATTCGCACAACCTAAACTTTTCTGAGCATATTTCCACCGAAGTATTCTGAATGAGGAAATTACCATGATTCATTTCCGTTACTTCCTTCATAATGAGTCTAAAATCATTCTTTACAAGACATGTTTACGGCTTGCTGCTGAATACTGCTCGTCCTAATTTTCTAACTTCTGCATATCTGATATACTGAAGGAATATAAAGGCATTTTACGCACAAAATGATTGAAAATAACTCACTCAATGATTATTCTACCCGCTACTATGCCTTCGGACCTGAACCACTCTGGAAAAGAAGGCTAAGGCTCAATATGATTCTTTACTTCAAACTACTGCCTGAATTCACATACCACCCCTGTAATATAGACCTTATCCCTGCCACGTGCATACAAGGCACGTGTTAAGTTATTCGCTGTCAAACTTAGGTAGTACAAAAATGACTTGGGTAAACCTCTGCCTAATTGAGATTGCATAGATTTGGGACGATCTTCCGCAGGAAAACGCAAGGTGGACGGTCTAAATTTAGGGGGAACATTGTAGGGCTTCGTAATCATGCCCTCATTTTCACTGGTTCCTCAATAAGGGTGAGCTAATCAGCATTCCTCATGGACGTTATTAGCTTTCTACATGCAAAATCTACGTCCATTTCAAAGCCGCGTTACCTTCACTTTTCCTCTCTGCAGTTTTATTAAATTTTTCTATTAGGCTGTATAACCCTGTTTAATTTTCACTACCTCAAGGATTTCCGTCTCCGGTGGCAAGGGTGCCCACTAAGGGCTTTCAAGAGCGGAGCTAACACTCAAAAGACTTCTCACAAAAAGGCCTTGAGTGACCGGCCTCAAGCAGTTGCCCCTTGGGCTCTGCGGTCACTCTCCCAGGTCTCTAAGACCAACACTAATCTATCTTCCTTTTCAGGCTCCCCGGTGTGGACAACCGGGAAGTGACAACCGCCCTCATATTCATAACAGCACGCGAGACCGAGTCGGTGATAATCAAATCCTTTCTACACCCCTTAAAATCTCTCTTATCTCCACGACTAACTCTTCCTACATTTCTTTATCACCCCGTACGCGCATACAGGATCCAAGTAGCATCATTCAATTGACCTCATTATGTCAAGAAAAAGAAGCAGCTCGATTTACCCTTCGTGTATCCGGCAGCCCTGATGCTGCTTTCCGGGGCCTCGCTGGTATATGTTTAGCATACAATACAAGACAAACTATCATCTGGTTTCCTGGTTTGAACATTTACTGATAATTCGAGATCTGCTTTGGAATAATTAGTTTACGGATTGGAAAGTCAATGATAGCGAAAACTAGCAGTTGACTATAATAAGTCAGTTTAAATTTTCTATGCACATTCATTTGTTAACGATTAATACACATGTGAAAACTATGTAATGCTAGTTTCGTCAATGGATTTGAGAGAAAAATAACTTTTTTATTTTATACCTTATTATTTTTCCACGTTATTAGGATTATATAGTAGCCTCATTGTGTGAAAATTGAAAACTGATCACTTTTATCTGTGTGAATCAATAATGATTTGCATAAACAATACTCTAAAGTTCTATGTCTAATAATTTGTTGTTTAAAAAAAACTAACAAATATTTTAAGTGCTACAATATAAAACATAATTAATGTCTTTCAGCTGTACAGAAAAATTGTCAAACAAAAACTTAGTGAACATAGTATTAGCTAAATTTTAATCGAATATAAAATAGTTAAATTATTATTTTTAATAAAGTCAAATTGTAGACTATACATTTGGTAGGAAACCAGTTTGTATATAATACATTCAATAAGGACAATAAAATTTGCCATAATATAGAGCATTTTGTTTAACTTGATATTGGAAGTTTACTTTCATTCGTTTTACCGTCAACTTCATTCATATTCACTTTCACTAATTGATTCTTCATTATTTTCGTTCTTATTATTTCTAGTGGATTCATTGTGTCGTTGATTTCACCGTATTTTATCTTCTTTAAAATTATCATTACCACCGACGCTGGTGTAATTGATTTCGCCGTTTCTTTTGTCTTCCTCAACATCATACTCCTCCTCCTCATCATCATCATCATCATCGTCATCATCATCACTATCATAGGCATCATCATTATCGACGTCGTTGTAGTCTACCTCACCGCCTCTCTCATCTTCTTCGACATCATACTCTTCATCTTCACCATCATCAGCATTATTATTATTATTATTGTCATCAGGATCATTATTATTATTATTATTATTACTATTATTTTTATTTTTATTTTTTTTATTTTTATTATTATCATCGTCATCATCATCTTCATCATCATCTTCTTCATCTTCATCATCATCATCATCTTCTTCATCATCATCTTCATCATCATCTTCATCATCATCATCATCATCATCATCATCATCATCATCAGCATCATCATCATCGCTACTGATATATGAACTTTCCAAATCATCGGTATTTCTTTTTTTTGATCTCTTAAATAGCTTGACCCAGGGAGGTTTATCATCCGCTTTTTTTGGATAACCTAATTTCCATTCAGATCTCGATCGTAAATATAGAATTTCATCTCTTAATTGACAAATGATAAGTGGCCAACAACAAAAAACTAGACAACATAAATCATTGATACAATTACCTTCCAGTTTATGTGCACGTCGAATTCTCATACGTACTAAGCATATGGTTAGCATTTGAATTGGCATTAGTAAAAAAGAAAATATTAATGCTATTAACCATGGTAATGACCAAGTATAGTGATAAATTTCAGCCATAGCACATGGACAACAACATATGCAACACCAACAATTACCTAAAAACACAAGATAGTATTTTATTTGAGAAAAGACCAATGCAGCATTTGTGAAAAAATTATTTATGGTTAGGCGTTCACGCACAATACCCAAGGTCCTGGGTTCGAATCCTGAGGGGCGCAGGAGTCGTGGATGCGCACTGTTGAGAAGTCCCATACCAGGACGAAACGGCTGTCCAGTGCTTACAGGTTTCTAATGGTGATCTAAGATAGATCGATTCATGGTTTCAAAAGTGTGTAAATTATTTATGTCAAAATTGTTTATTACCATAAACAATCTGACTCATTACAGTAATTGCAAACTGTATCTGTCAATAATAAGAAGAAATCTTCATTTCATTATTATTGATAATCATATTGTCTGTCAAAGAAAGATGATTCAGCCCTGTAACATCATAGAAATGAAGTTAAATTATGAAATTTACTGCATGAATCTGTAGTTTGATTGCAAGTAGTCTAAGTGAAACTTTATTTAATTATCAATAAATGTATGTACTTTCTCGACTTAAGTTCATTTAGATGTTGAATTTAGTGAAACGTACATTTTTTACAATATGACTTTTAACAAATTATTATAGAAATGAGTGTTTATTAGTAGTTTAATTTACTGAAATTGTTTGTATAGACTGTTCACTGTAAAATGGTTTGAATTATGTTTTCCGGTTAGTGTTTTTAATCAATCAATTGAATGGAACTCACCACTCTACATCGACTTCATCGACTACGAGAAAGCATTTGATAGTGTGGATAGGAAAACACTATGGAGGCTTCTTCCACACTACGGCGTGCCAGAGAAGATAGTCAACATCATAAGAAATTCTAATGATGGATTAAACTGCAAAATTGTGCACAGAGGACAGCTGATAGACTCTTTCAAGCTAAGAACCGGTGTCAGGCTAGGTTGCTTACTCTCACCCTTTCTCTTTCTCCTAGTGATCGACTGGATTATGGAGGCCTCAACATCTAGAGGAAAACACGGGATACAGTGGACAACCAGGATGCATCTAGACGATTTGTACGTCACAGATGATATGGCTCTTATATCTCACATGCGACAAAAAATGCAAGTAAAGATGACCAGTGTAGCAGCAGGTCTCAACATACATAAAGAGAAAAGCAAGATTCTCCGATACAACACAACACGCACCAACCAAACCACTCTTGATGGAGATGCCTTGGAGTAAGTTAACACCTTTACATATCTGGGCAGCATCATCGACAATCAAGGTGGATCCGATGCAGAAGTTAATGCGCAGATAGGCAAAGCAAGGGTTGTATTTCTACAACTGAACAATATCCGGAACCCAAAAATGTTTCAATAACTAAGACTAACAGAGACATTTTTTATCTAAAACGTCGTGTTTATATCATTTGACTGGAAAATAACTTAATTAAGTATAATTTTCATATATATCTATCAAAAGAAAATTGAGGGAAGTACATTTTTCATAAAAATTCAAATAAATAGCCCTGTACAAAAGACATACAGTTTATGCAATTTAATTTCAAAAAGGCTTAATAACTTCTTTTTTTCCCAGACTGTAACTGATACTCCTAGAGAAAACGATTTCAACAAATCAGTACTTCTAGCAATCACTATATCAGAACAGTACAAAAATCTGTCTTATTTGTAATTTTGTATGTTTATCAGCTACTAAACATATTCAGTTTATTTTTAATTCATTAATACAAAACTGATATATACCAGCTATTTTTTGGTAGTCAAAACTTGAAACTATTGAAGAGATTTTTCAGTATCTAGTTTATGAGGAATATCCCTAGACAGGTTAATCTGGTGATTACAGAAAACATAAAATTTATTACCTTCAAAATTTATTCGAAAGGAGCACAACCATTCCTTTTCTGATGAGATATTTTCGGCAAGATTATTTTCTACGGAATGGGGGTTGTCAATCCCAGTCTAATCCTTCTATTTTATCGCAGCTTAGGACATGGAGTAACCCTAGAAAGGGTTACAAGGGTCTCCAGTTGGGTTATGTGGTCCTGTGCTAAAGGGTACTGGACGCCATTGATATCTGTCCACTTATGTGGGATTAACCCAGCTTGGCCGAGTGCTTGCATTTGACCGAGTCCATAACATCTTCCCCATGGGAGGATGTACGTTCCGGCTGACCTATTGGGACAAACTCGATCTTTAGCTTCATGTGGGGTCTGAGGGCTCCGGTCGATTGTATCAGCACAAAGCAGTTGGAGGCCGGACAGTTGGAACGGCTGCTAATTGGTGCACTGTTGGGTAGCTCGGTAATCTGGTCGGGGTGCCAGGTCCAGCTGGGTAAGCCCGCCTTGCCACCCATGCCGATTGGGGATTTCAGGTAGTGGATTGGTGGAGGGATCTTGTTGATTCATAAGTGCCCGAACGGGGTCCACTAAACCTACCTGCTTGCCAGTCAAACTGGACAATATGTACGTTCCCGATTGGGACAGGGGTGATCACTAAAACGAATACGGTGAGAATCCTTGTGCTGCCTAAAAAGCAGCGATGTCCATGTGTAGCAGGCTTGTCGGTTAACCAAGATTTTGACTCTTTTATTCTTGTCTAATAACCTTAGCTGTTTGATGACCTTAAATCTACCAATATATATATATATATATATATATATATATATATAGACAGATACAACGCAGAACCCGACCGTAGCTGCTACCTTGACGTGGTGGTTGCATTAAATCATTACGTTTTGATTAACATCATATGAATTTTTCATTACACATCAGATATTGTCTAATGACTGAATGGATTACAAATATAATTGTATCATACCAGTGCATAATTTGATTTCTAAAGTAATAAAGTAATATACACCTATAACTCGAATTATTTCACCAAACTTGTGAAATTTTTTTTAATTCCTAAACTATAATAGCACAGGTAATGTATATTATTAACATTATTAACAACTTAATACACTTCACAATTCATCCAAACTGATTAACAATTAAAAATGAGAAATGAGATGGTGAAGAAGATTTGTAGCTCAGGTGGATGATTGTGGTTGTAGTGGTGTTTGGTTCTCTAAGCTGGGTGTTTTGGTTGTGAAGTTTTCATTGTTCTCCAGAAGTTTGTGTTGATGATGTTTTCCAGACGAAGAACAATGAAAGCTCCACAACCAAAACACCCAGCTCAGGGAACCAAACACCACCACCACCACAAGAATGAGAAATGTATAACTTGGTAAAAATAAAAAAAAACTTACTACAATTTTCACAAAATGATATTGCATAAGTATTCCATTGTTGATGTTTTCGCTTAGGCTTCGATTGACTTGATTGACCAACCATTTATTATTTTATCAGTCAATGCATTTACAAAGCATTCAAAGGGTCATTGTTAATGAACAATGAATGTTGACCTGTTTACACTGCATTTCTATATATGATGATTATCATGACATAAATTGATTTGTTGTATTTTTTTTAAACGCTTAAATCAATAAGTGATAAAATAATTGATTGAACAAAAATAAATCCTAATTTATTGATAATTTTGTTATTAATTACGTATGTATTTCATGTTTACTTGGAGGACGTTAACACCTTTACATATCTGGGCAGCATCATCGACAATCAAGGTGGATTCGATGCAGATGTGAGAGCGCGGATTGGCAAAGCAAGGGCTGCATTTCTACAGTTGAAAAATATCTGGAACTCCAAACAACTTTCAACCAAAACCAAAATCAGGATTTTTCAATATAAATGTAAAGACAGTTCTACTGTATAGAGCGGAAACTTGGAGAACTACGAAAGCCATCATCCAGAAGATACAAGTATTTATTAACAGTTGTCTACGCAAAATACTTTGGATTCGTTGGCCAGACACCATCAGCAACAACTTTGTGAGAGAACTAACCAGATTATAGTGGAGGAGGAAATCAGGAGGAAGCGGTGGAAGTGGATAGGACGCTCATTACGAAAAGCACCAAACTACGTCACAAGACAGGCCCTCACATGGAACCCTCAAGGCAAAAGGAAAAATGGAAGACCAAATAACACAGTGTGCCGATGAATAGAGGAAGACATGAGAAGAATGAACAAAAACAGGAAAGAACTAGAAAGGGAAGCACAGGACAGAGTTGGTTGGAGGAAACTTGTGAGCGGCCTATGCTCCATTGGGGGTAACAGGCGTAAGTAAGTAAATAATTTCATGTTCAGGCTATAAAAGAAAAAAGAAAGTAGATTAGTTATTAGTTTTGAAACTATAATACTAAAGAAGACAAATTCGTTTTGTTGTATTTGTGAATTGTATTTGTGTGAAATGCATTTCTACCAGTTGAATCATGATGTGTATTTGCTTGTCAAAATATCTTCTCATATAAATAACTAATTAAGGTTAAATGGAACATGAGGCCAATTAATTAAGTAATCATTGAAAACAATATCCTTCCCAGCTTTTACAGCAATGATCTAACATTGATATCAGGTCATGATTTCACTGTAATTAAAATCTATCTTCACAACACTGAAACTGTATAAATATTGAATATTGATGATGTAGAATTAAAAAGAAATTTTTCCATTGAAAATAACTACTTGACAAATGTATCGCAGAAAGTTGTGTATTTGAATATTGAATTCTTTATGATTATTTTATGTTTTTTTTTGGTGAATATTTACAGCGTAGTCACTTTTAAGTGACATTAATTTACCTGGTTCATTTCCATTGGATGGAATGTTTTTTCTTTGTTTTTGTTTTAGAAAAGTTTAATTTCATTACATTCCTACTGCTAGAATATTTCTGCAAGAATGTTTCTTCTCAGGAATGCATATGTCATTTTATTATTATTACTATTATTATTATTAATTTTAGAAGTTTATCAGTTTACTTTCTATTTTAAGTAAATAAGATCCGTGAAAAGTAATCATTCTTTTTTTTAAAAAAAAAACATCAAATTTCATTATGTAACAGAGTAAGCGGAAATTACAGATTTGATTCATATAAAGGTATTATGAAATCAGTCAGATATGGTTTATGAGGATTGCGTTAACAATCTAATGTTCATCTCTACAGGTTTTGAATTATACATTATCCTTACTTACTTACTTACGCCTGTTACCCACAATGGAGCATAGGCCGCTCACAAGTTTCCTCCAACCAAATCTGTCCTGTGCTTCCCTTTCTAGTTCTTTCCTGTTTTTGTTCATTCTTCTCATGTCTTCCTCTATTCATCGGCACACTGTGTTATTTGGTCTTCCTCTTTTCCTTTTGCCTTGAGGGTTCCATGTGAGGGCCTGTCTTGTGACGTAGTTTGGTGCTTTTCGTAATGAGCGTCCTATCCACTTCCACCGCTTCCTCCTTTGCTGATGGTGTCTGGCCAACGAATCCAAAGTATTTTGCGTAGACAACTGTTAATAAATACTTGTATCTTCTGGATGATGGCTTTCGTAGTTCTCCAAGTTTCCGCTCTATACAGTAGAACTGTCTTTACATTTATATTGAAAAATCCTGATTTTGGTTTTGGTTGAAAGTTGTTTGGAGTTCCAGATATTTTTCAACTGTAGAAATGCAGCCCTTGCTTTGCCAATCCGCGCTCTCACATCTGCATCGAATCCACCTTGATTGTCGATGATGCTGCCCAGATATGTAAAGGTGTCAACATCCTCCAGAGAATCTCCATCAAGAGTGATTTGGATGACGCAAGTTGCGTTGTGCCGTAGAATCTTACATTTCCCTTTATTTATGTTGAGACCTACTGCTGCTGAGGCTGCTACTACACTGGCCATCTTCTCTTGCATTTGTTGCGAGGTCATCTGCGAAGTTCAGATCGTCCAGCTGCGTCCTAGCTGTCCACTGAATACTAAGCTTCCCTCCATATGCTGACGTCTTCATAACCCAGTCGATGACCAGGAGAAAGAGAAAGGGTGAGAGTAGGCCACCTTGCCTGACACCGGTCTTCACCTCGAAAGAGTCTGTTAGCTGTCCTCCGTGTACGATTTTGCAGTTTAATCCATCATAAGAATTCCGTATGATGTTAACTATATTCTCAGGCACACCGTAGTGTTGAAGAAGCCTCCGTAGTGTTTTCCTATCCACAATATCAAATGCTTTCTCGTAGTCGATAAAGTTGATGTAGAGTGGTGGGTTCCATTCAAATGATTGTTCCACAATGATCCGTAATGTAGCAATGTGGTCAGTACACGATCGATCCTTACGAAATCCGGCCTGTCGATCTCGAAGTCAGGCGTCTACGAAGTTCTTCATTCTGTTTAACAATACCCTGTTGAAGACTTTGCCTGGTATTGAGAGAAGAGTGATGCCTCTGTATTTCTCACAGTTTCTGCGATCGCCTTTCTTTGGTATTTTGATGAGGTATCCTTCTTTCCAATCTGATCGTACTTGTTCTTCATCCCAAATCTTGTTGAAGAGAATATGAAATATTTTTGCAGTTGCTTCCACGTCTACTTTTATTGCCTCTGCTGGAATGTTGTTTGGTTCTGCTGATTTGCCGCTCTTGATTTGTCTGATGGCCATACTGATCTCCTCAATCGTAGGTGCGCCAATATTGATTGGGAGGTCAGTGGGTGCTTGTTCGATTTCGGGTGGGTTCATTGGAGCTGGTCACTTCCTACTATGCTTAAAATATTATTATTCGTAATGATCCATTACGCAAATAAAGTTCGGTAACAGTTGACCCGAGAGAGACAGAGGGTTCAGACCTGGGCATGAATACATTAACTAAACCTGAACGCCTCAGCAGGTTATAGAACACAATCAGAGGTATTCTGATCTAGGGCTGAAAACAGAATTATTTCCTGTCAGCAGTGATATTTTGTTACAGTATTCATGCCCAACGGTTGTACTAGAAAAGTATATCAATCTTATACATGCCTTTTACTCTAAAATTTGTGATCAGAGTAGAGTCTGTTGCAAACTTTCATCAAAATCAATAACTTCATTTGGTGTCGATCAAGCCTGAATGCTTTCTTCATTTTATTTGGTTTTACTATGGATGTCTTAATGGCAACCATATTTCTTTTATCTGGTTTTTTAGAAGTTTAACTGCTTTCTCAAAATTCACTCATGGATGTGGAGTATGCAACTTATGTAGTATTTTTTCAGATGCTAGAAAATGAATAGCCCTTTGATCTATTTGATAGATGATTCAAATATATTGAAGGTTCGTTTCAACTCCGTCTTATACAGAGTCCTTCTTGAGGACTAAATCATTTCACCCTACATTTGAACAAGTTAACCAATCTGTGTCGGAATTCTTTCTAGTCCTAGCAAGCCGATGTCTGATTGAATGTGGGCACGGATTGGGAAATCATACCTGACTAGTGTCGACTTTAGCAGAATATCTGCATATTCAAAAAAGCATATACTATACGAAAAGATCTCTTTGTTTTACTATACACCAACCAAACGTATCCCATAAAAATTAGATATGCTTAGGCTATACGTTTTTGATTTGGCTTGTTTCTGAAATATTTCTTGGGTATTGTGCGACAGATAAGTGTCCATTGCCTAAGCAACGGTATGAAGTACTAGCCATATACAGTGGATCGATATACGGCTGCAATAGGAGTAGACTGAAAGAAGGCTAATAGCAGTAAAACCACAACATAATATCAGTGCATTAAATCAGCCAGAGTTGATAAATTTATGGAAACTAACTTATACAGATCCTCACGATAATCGTGACTTCTGGTTGAAGGCTTTGGATGATATGGCCTAAAATTAATCACCAATGCATTTACCCATTATCTCAGTCTGCATATTGAACTTTTATATGCTTTCATCTGTATCTTATTTTTATTTTCTGTTTTCGAACCATATCATCCAATGTGAAATTTTCCTCATTATTATTAATACCACTATTATTTCCTGTCCGCTTGTCTGTGTAATATAAACAAAACTCAACTGAAACAAAATTTTTTCAGGGCTTATAGTGATTATGGCTGATTACTAAATTCTCAGTAAAAATTAATTGTGCAAGTAAGCCAAGTTTACTAAATGAAAAAAAAAATCACAATTATACTAATTAACTGGAGTCATGTAAGTAGATCGTAAATTTCAAGTAAAACACAATCATATGATTCTATTTTCATGATTAGTTTCAAAAATCAAGGATCTGTAGTATTTCAATTTTTATCAACAACATTCTAATCTAATATATTGCCGTTTAATAATTCTTTTTAATTTTGTTTGATTGTAACTAATTTTGATGTATGTTTACTCTCCTATTTATATGACTGTACTTACTATATTTAGCCAACCTGGTGTTTTAATTAATTTGTTGATATAACACATCCATGTATATTGATCAATGTTTGTGTTTCAATCA